CAGTCTGTGATGATTTGGGGTGCAATGTCATCTGCTGGTGTTGGTCTATTGTGTTTTTTGAAAACCAACGTCATTGCACCCGTTTACCAAGAAATTTTGGCGCACTTCATGCTTCCTTCTGCTGACCAGTTTTTTTGAAGATGCTGATTTCATTTTCCAGCAGGATTTGGCACCTGCCCACACTTCCAAAAGCACCAAAAGTTGGTTAAATGATCATGGTGTTGGTGTGCTTGACTGGCCAGCAAACTCACCACACCTGAGCCCCATAGAGAATCTATGGGGTATTGTCAAGAGGAAACTGAGAAACAAGAGACCAAAAAATGCAGATGAGCTGAAGGCCACTGTCAAAGAAACCTGAGCTTCCATACCACCTCAGCAGTGCCACAAAGTGATCACCTCCATGCCACGCCGAATTGAGGCAGTAATTAAAGCAAAAGGAGCCCCTACCAAGTATTGAGTACATGTACAGTAAATGAACATACTTTCCAGAAGGCCAACAATTCACTAAAAATGTTTTTTTATTGGTCTTATGAAGTATTCTAATTTGTTGAGATAGTGAATTGGTGGGTTTTTGTTAAATGTGAGCCAAAATCATCACAATTAAAAGAACCAAAGACTTAAACTACTTCAGTCTTGTGTGCATTGAATTTATTTAATACACGAGTTTCACAATTTGAGTTGAATTACTGAAATAAATGAACTTTTCCACGACATTCTAATTTATTGAGATGCACCTGTATATATTTCAGATTTCAAAATCATGATTGCATGCCTCAAACCCTAAAACTAATGTGAATTACATATTGTATGTTGTCTGTCCAAACCTTTAGATGCTTTGGTGGTAATAAATCCAGAGAGAGGAACAAAAAAGTTGAAAGGTTCGAAAAACAAAAGGGCAAATGGTGCAGAAGAAACAGCTTGAAGTGAACCCACATGTTGCCACTCTTCTTTGCAAAGTGAAGGGTTTTCAGTGGAATTTCTGAAATGTAAGTAGTACACACCAAGATCTTTTTTTTTTCTTTTATTATTCTCTATCTTTATTTGACTGTACCTGTCATCTCTTTTTCGGTCTCTGACTGTATCTGTCATTCCTCTGTCTGTTTCTGACTGTATTATTATGTTTTGTAATATATCTTATATATACTGAGTATGTGAGCAGCATAAGTAGAGTTATTTTTTAACTCTGTATTAACTTTAGCTCACAAGTTTTTTTCAGACTTGTGTGAAGTCACAGTGTTTTCTATTGCTTCAGGATAATTCAGATCAGGGTTTCTCTCCCAAGTGAGTGGAGAGCGGGAATTTTCTTTGTTACTCAAGTCCACTCACGTACTCTGTTCCAGTCTGTTTGTTGCTTGGCAACATTTAAAGATTGATGCTATGGCAGAAACATAAGACAAGAAGTGTTGTATAAAAGCAATATCACACTTGCAGTTTAACTGTTGTTTTAAACCATGCTGATCAACACTCTTGCTATTATATTGCTATAAGTATAGTTTATGGTTTGGAGAGTAAATCACAATCACAATGTTACAAACAATCTATGTTTTTCTAGGAAACCTGTTACCTAAATCTGTCCAGCCTGCCTGAACTGAAAATATTTTTACATTTCTCATAATAGCATTAAAGGGCTGTGCTTTGTGCCATTTATTATTATTATGAAATGCTTTGGTTTATCCCTAGACGCTAGAGGGTCTAAGGTCCACCCACCACAGTCTCACAAAATACTGTGGGAAACTATGATACTGTTTTTATGCACATTTACTATATATGAAATAATATGTTTGATTGTTTTTCAATTGTTGGGTTCATTTATGGTTTACAACCTTATTTCATTAAAAGGTTCAAGCAATCAGACTATTGTTCCAGATCATTGATGAAGAGCACTTTACCAATACTCTTTCCTTCTGAATGTAACATCGTCAACAATATGAAGAACCATCTGACATTTATGACAAACCAAATCCTGTGAAAATCGGTAAGAAGGGACTGTTACAGCCTGTTGCAAAGCACACCTGTCATCTGTCTGACATTTGCAATATTTCTGACATTTGCACCTTTCCAATATGGCAGACATGCAGATGTATCACTGTAATTAGAAATAGTTGCTAATGTGCCATCTAGGTGTTTATATCTATGGTGCGGACACTAAACATAATTGCTGCTATGAAAATAAACACACTGGCCCTTCATTAGTAATGCTGTCATGATGTCAAAATCCGTGGCATGGTGTTCAGTAAGTTCCAGCTTGGTCCGCTATGGCAGAGGTCCCCAACCCCCGGGTTGCGACCCAGTACCAGGCAGTGAAAGAGCTGCTACCGGGCCGCAAGAATGCAAAATGACTCTAAGCTATATGCAATACCTAGGGTTGTAACGATATATCGGTATGACGGTTTATCACGGTTTGCACGCGCACGGTTATCATACCGTAAACGTTTGCATATCTTATTTCCGCTCGGCTGCTTCACTCTGCATTCACTTGGCTGCTAAACGTTACACGCATGTGCAGCGGAGAAAATTAGAGACAGAGATAATATCTAATCTCCATCCCCACCGAAAAAAAAGTTAATATCTGCAGTATGGGAATATTGATATAATATGGGGATATAAAAAAAAAAAAAAAGAATGCGGGGTTGTCTTTGAGGACGTATCCAATTTGCAAAAAATGTGGACGCAAAGTGGCTGCAAAAGCAGGCAATACATCTAACATCTTCGCTCATATTCGCAGACACCATCCCTCCGTGCAGATAAAGGTATGTCGCATTAATAACAAGTTATAAGTTAAGGCCGTATGATTTCCGTGAAGCAGAAAGAATCGTGCAGTCGTGAACATGGAATTTACAGTATAACGAGGATGTCACGTAAAATGCGCAGTCTGATCGATGGATAAATTGAAAGTAGTTATGATATTTGTCTGTGAATATTAAAGCGCAAAGAGACTGCTATATGAATAATCTGCTTGTTTCTGCATGTCTCTGAGTGGCGCCGTTTTATCTACTGCATACTGAAGTACGCATACATAAATGTTTTTTTCAGTGTCTAAGATACATAAACATGAACATCAGCAGAGCTGCTCTGAGAGAAAACGTAAATAAACATTTCCTAGTTTTATTTGAGAAAAAACATTGTCAAATACACTCTGAAACTCAAAGGTCCGCTACAACCCGTTAAAATAAAAGTTCGATTTAATTTGAAATTATGAAAGAAATATATTAGCATTGTACAATGTACTTCAAAGTTATAATAACAACAATAATAATATTCTTTATAATAAAATAATTTGTTTAAACATTGTTTTCAAGGAATATCATGTTTGTCCATGTTTTAACTTTGCCAAAAATAAAAGTTGTTGTAAATTTTCATTTAAAAACATTTAAAAACATTAATTAAAATGTTAAAGTGTGATATAGATATACATAAGGTGTACAGCTTTATTTTTTTTTTGTTTTTTTTATTTAAAAAAAAAGTTAATATCTGCAGTATGGGAATACTTCGGATATAAAACAAAACAAAACAAAAAAAACCGCGGGGTTGTCTTTGAGGACGTATCCAATTTGCAAAAAATGTGGACGCAAAGTGGCTGCAAAAGCAGGCAATACATCTAACATCTTCGCTCATATTCGCAGACACCATCCCTCCGTGCAGATAAAGGTATGTCGCATTAATAACAAGTTATAAGTTAAGGCCGTATGATTTCCGTGAAGCAGAAAGAATCGTGCAGTCGTGAACATGGAATTTACAGTATAACGAGGATGTCACGTAAAATGCGCAGTCTGATCGATGGATAAATTGAAAGTAGTTATGATATTTGTCTGTGAATATTAAAGCGCAAAGAGACTGCTATATGAATAATCTGCTTGTTTCTGCATGTCTCTGAGTGGCGCCGTTTTATCTACTGCATACTGAAGTACGCATGCATAAATGGTGTTTTCAGCGTCTAAAATACATAAACATGAACATCAGCAGAGCTGCTCTGAGAGAAAACCTAAATAAACATTTCCTAGTTTTATTTGAGAAAAA